AGGGACAGGAGAAAAAAAAGGTAGGAGCAGGCTGTGGTTTACATTAACTGTTTTAGTGGGCTGCATATGGCCATGGCCTGTAGGCTAGATATCTCTGCTTTTCAGTAATTGCAGAGCAGGGGCAACAGCTAGCCTGCAAAGTGCTGGGGTGTGGAAAGAGAGCACATAGCTCCAGCGTGGAGATACATCGTGCCTTCTGCGTGGTTAACGAGGCTTTTTCACCTGCATGAGAGCATTTTGGTGGAAGCAGGTCAGCTGCAAAAGCACTCTCCTAGTCAGAATACAAATCAGGCAGAGAATACTTTGGCTGGTGGTGTGATTACCACCAAAAAACCCACCTTACTTTTAATGTATTTCTTCTGAGTTCTCACTGTCTACCTTAAGCAGAGTTTAAGGCCGTTCGCAATAACAGCTCAGGTTCACGACTCCCACTTCTGTTACAAACCCTCTCTGAACATTAACGATCTGCATATGTGTGTCTTGAAAGCAAGTGCCTTTCCCCCCTCCATACATAATTACAGAGGTTATGTCCTTTAAAGGGAGTCTGAGTGTGTGTATGTGTGCAAGCTGAAATAAAAACAACCCTGAGTTGGTAACTCCGCTGATAATGTCAAGTCTTGGCTGCGTTAAGATCAGTTTATGAGAAGATCAGAAGACAGCTGTTGCTCTGTGGGAGGGATCATCTCACGGTTGCGGGCTAGCCTGGGACACTCAGTTCCCAATAGGTTGTCTGCTTAATCTCTGGCAGATCACTTTATCTCTGTGGCTACATTTAAACTGGGACATGTAAACCACTCGGCATTTTTTCAAACTCTTAGATGGGAGTTTACCCTGTATCCCACAGTAGGGTGGGTTTTACTGGCTTTTTCTGCCACGTTCTGGTTTTCTTGGAAATGAAACTCTGATGTGGGGTTGGATGGTCTCCATTCAGCAAGATGCAGCAAAGTGAGACCCAAGACTCTTCTGGTCTCTGTTCAGCAAGATGCAGCAAAGTGAGACCAAGCAACATATGGGAACTGTTACATTGGAAACACTCCTGTCTCTGGACAAGAACATTCACTTTCAGTACCCAGACTCAGAGATGAAGTCTTGAGTCTTGTATCCCAGCAGTTCTCCCAGCTTGTCAGATCCCTACCATAAGATACACATTTTCAAAAATTTACTGTGATGGCAATTGAGATGCCTTTTAGTCTTGGAATTCTTAATGATTGAATTACTTTTATATAGCCTTTCTTTATCTGTCAGCCTGGGTGGATTTCTAAGGATCAAAATGACATTACACCAGCTTGATCTTCTCTAACAAGGTTGCAAGGCCCTGTGGCTAGAGCAGAAGCAATCAAATGCCAAGTATCCAGGCTATGGTAAGGTCTTTGATTCTGTTTCTGCTTACTTCCTATAGGCAAAGTAGGTATGTGTAGAGTAAATGGGTTTGTTCTAAGTATGTTACAAGGGCCATTTGCAGACTGCACCTGCAGAACAATTTTTGTGGTCTCCTTCTCCTGTCAAAGGTTGTACAGAAAGGATGCAAGGTGCACCTGGTCTTGGGTTCTGTTTCATTAGCGATCCAAATGGCATAATTGTACTGGGTCTGGCTGGGATAGAGTTAATTTCCTTTGTAGCCACCCATACCCTGCTGTGTTTCAGATTTGTGACTAGAGTGGTGTTAATGACACACCAGTGTTTTGGCTGTTGATGAGCCAGACTTGCAGAGGGCCAAGGCTTTCTCTTTTTCCCACTCTGTTCCCCCAGCGGCTAGGCCTAGAGTGGGCAAGAGGTTGGGAGGGGACACAACAGGGACAGTTGACCCAGATGAACCAAGGGGACATTCTTTGCCCTACGACATCATGCTCAGCAATAAAAGCTGAAGGGAGGGTTTTCTGGGGGGAGGTGGGCATTGCTCAGAGATTGTTGGGCATTGGTACTACTTGTGGGAGGTGGTGAGTGATTGCCTTTGCATCACTTTCTGGTTGAGTTTCTTTTTTCTCTCCTTCAGTTATTAAACTCTCTTTGTCTTGACTGACAGCTTTTTTTGCTTTTGCTCTTCCTATTCTCTTCCCCATCCCTCTGGGGTGGGGAGTGAGCAAGTGGCTGTGAGGTGCTTAGGTGCTGACCAGGGTCAAGCACCACAATATCAGAGAGAGAGGTTATGAAATTGGAAGAAAAGATGAAGTTTGGTATTATTAAAAGCATGCCTGGGTACAATTTATGTCTCCATGGTAGCTGGAGATTGATTATATGGTTTCTTTCAGCACCATGAAGTCTCTTTGGTTAAATAAAGAAGTAAGACTTTAATGACATGAAGAATTATGTCTCCTTCAGTAGCTATCCTAGGCTATAAAGACCTGTCTTAGTTAAGTTAGGCTCAGCTGCATTGTCTGCTTTTGCTATGGATGAAGACTCAGCTGACATCTGATGACTTCGGCTGTCTCAGGCTCTGTCTGTTGAGTCTCACTGCCTCCCTGCATTCATCCCATGCTATGAGATATCCCTGATATTTGAGTGGTCTCATAGGGAGAGAATAATCCACTACCACAGCAGGCTGGATTCACAGTCAAAATTGACATAGCTTTCCCAATGTGGCTGGATGAGAAGCTGGCTCGCTACCTTTAACATTTCCCACCCGCCTTGTGGAGTTAAGTCACCAGAGCATTGCAGGAGCACAGTGTTTCTGGGGCACTGATACACTCATGCAACTTCAGGGGATCTTTAATTCAGCATGGATAACTGTTAGCTGCAGATACGGCAATTTCCTCTGCAGATTAAGGAAAGATGCCATAACAGAAATGACTGACTGGGTGTCACTGCTGTGTTGTGACAGGCTGTCCTCTAAGAAGTAGTGATTGATGACATGTATAAAACGGAGCCATTATATGTGCAGTTTATATCGAAACAGTACTTAAAATGTAGGCTGTCAGTCAAAGCACTGATTACTTATACAGTGCTATAATAAGTGGTGGTGGGTGCAGTGAACAAGGTACCAGAGAAAATGTTTGTTTCAGAGCTTCAAACAGCGTTGTCTCTTTATTTCCAGTCTGCATCTAGCCATAATAAAAGGATCTATCCTATACATTGCCTAAAGCACGAGACCTCACTGCAGCTGCTAGCAGCTCTTTGATACTGACATCACTATTAAAACCAATTTCTGGAACAGGCTGGTGACCTTTTCTGTTTCCCCTTGAGCACAGTTAGAGCAAACCTCAGTACTCTGTGGCAACATTTTTCATGGCTGCAGAAGCCTTCAAAGGCCTCAGCTGCAGAACCTTGCTTCTCTGTGTTTTGCAGAAGGTTTGAGGACCCCTCTCAGTAGGTTTCACTGAGTGCTGTGGATGCAGTGGATGCCTCGCAGTGAAGACACAGGACCTGGTCCCAGGGGATATAAACTCAGCCCTGTTGCTGGCCTGCTGGCAAGTCCTGGGACAAGTCGCTCCCAGTGCCTCTGTCTGCAGCTGTGGTATGGAGGTAATGGGATGAACTCTCTGCAGAGTCACTCTGTAGGTGGGTGGAAGGGGAAGCCGCCCAGCTGTGCACCGACATTTCTGCACCACGTGAAACATTTCAGGTGGGCTAGGGAAGGAGACAGGGCCACCTCCCTTCCGCTGCTGCCTCGCCTGCTAACAGGCTTGCAGAGCAGAGTGGGCACGAGCAGCAAGCATTTGAGCACTCCTGCAAAGCACGGGTGTGGTACGCGGCCTGATACAAGCTTGGCCTGAATGACAGAGAGGCAGTGGGAACTTCACTGGCTCTCATACCAGTTTGTGGCCTGTATGTTGGGTGGGAAACACCTGGAGAGTGTTACTGTGACACTGCTGAAAGGACACCAAAATGTATGGGCTTTGCAATGAGACAGAACCAAAAAGCATTTGCTTTGTTCCCCCCTTCTGCTTACTAAATGGGAGAGAGAAAAAAGAATGTTCCATTCACAATTATAGAGAATAGTCAAATCATTGGATTTTTCCTTCTTTGTGTTTGCTGTTCATTTTCTAAAACCATTAAGGTTTGTCACATTTGTAATGACAGTTCCACTTATTTGGTTGTAAGCTGCATCCTTGTACAGACGGATAGTTTGCATATGCCAAGAAAACATTCCTTAAGTACGCACATCACTAACATGTCAAAAGCTTTTCCTTTTTATGCTTATGATCAGGCCAAAAATCAGTTGTCAGTAACAACCATCGTAGAGGTGGTATCTGAATATTGTGGTTTGATATGTCACTGGTTGTAAGGACCTTTGAGTATAGCCTTGTAGATCAATATCAGATTGTTTCCAGCATTTGATTTTTCTGCAAAATTAAAAGACATGTTCACAACTGTACTTCCACTATCAAGGTTCTGATTACTAGACAGACTATAATCCTGTTTTTCTTCCGTATCCTCTGATGTGAGCATATTAACTTTTTTTTAATTCTTGTACATATGTAAATTACACCTTGCTCTGTAGTACTTTCACCTGCACTATTTCGTAATGTACATTTCTGTCTATGTTTATTCAGCTCTTTAAAAATATGTCTGATTAAAGATAATTTTTACCATCGTAAATATGATGCTTTAGTTATTTTTTGTAGAAGAAAATTGGAACCAGTACAACCTCTGGTTTCACAAATGTAGCAATTCAGAATGGGCTTATTACTTGTATTGGGCCCTGCACACAGCATTGGGATCCACAGAAAAATACTCTACCTTGCATTTGTTCTAAAAAGTAGATTGCCTCTAATGCTACTGTTTTCCACAAATCTCCATGCACAAAACTGTACCCCCGTGTTGTGAGGAGCTCACTTTGGTTTTATGCCATACTCTAGTTCATAATTTGTGAAACTGAAGTTGGCTTTTCAGTCATGTGACAGGTATGTAATGATGCTTTCCAGTGCTCTTTGTGAAATTGATTTTAGTTTTTTTCCTTTTTTTTTTTTCCCCGTTTTAAGGAAATTTGTTTTGAGGAAAACCACGCTGCACAAACTCACTGCTTCTGCTTTCTTTTGTCTTTCCCCTTCTCCTTTTTCCAGACCAGGATGAGAGAGCAGCGGAGCTCAGCAGGGAGCAGAATGAGAAGACCATTCGCAGCACGCAGACAGCTCTCCGCAATTTCCGAGAGTTCCTCATCTCCAAATACCCCTCTGAGACCCGGGAGATCTATGTCATCCCCTGCAAAGAGCTTGATGCCTACCTTGCTTCCTTCTTCGTGGATGCCAGACAAAAGGATGGGTCTGAATACGAGCCAAACAGTCTGGCCAACTATCAGTGTGGGCTGGAGCGGTATCTCAAAGAACATAGGTATGGATACAGTATTACGAGGGATAAGGAGTTCAAGAGGTCCCAGGAGGCTCTAAAGCAAAAGCAGATAGAGTTGAGGTGTAAAGGAAAAGGAAATAAGCCACACAAATCCATGAAGCTTACCTTTGCTGACGAGCTTATCCTGCGCAAAAGAGGCTTATTGAGCCGGTACAATCCCGAGGGGCTGCTGAAACTTGTCTGGCTAAAACACCACAACTGCACAGGTTTCCATGGGTCCACCCTCAAATGGGGAGACATCCGGCTGCGGGTGACAGAGACCGGGTTGGAGTACCTGGAGTGGATGGGGCCAGACAACGGAGATGTCAACGCCAAGAGCAAGAGAGGCGGGACAGACTCCCGGGTGTATGCCACCCAGCACTCCCCACAGACCTGCCCTGTGCAAGACTACAAGGAGTACGCCCAGAGGCGGCCTCCAGCCATGCGCTACGAGGACGCGCCTTTTTACCTGTCCATTAAACCCGTTGTCAACCTGGCTGCGCTTCACTGGTACAATTGCCAAGCCCTGGGGAAAAACAAGCTTGCCAAGATGGTAAAGACGATGTGCGAGAAAGGCAACATCCCTGGCAGGAAGACCAACTTCAGCGTTTACCAGAGCTGTAGCACCCTCTCAGAAGCGCAGAGCAACCAGCTGGTGCTGATCTGCAATAACTTGAGCCAGCAGGCTGCCCAGTCCATGGCGAGCCACTCCAATACTGGCAACTTCATAGTGTCGGCATCCTATGACTCTTCCTCCGACACGGCTTGAAAGAGGGGTATCACCTGAACACTTTTTTCTTTTCCTTATTGTTTCAAGCATTGAATTTGTGCCCAGTAATACACACCAACTGTGATTGTACACTATTCCCCCATAGCCCTCTCTCCAGTGTTAATTCACTTTATAAAAATATATAAATATATAATATATTTTTCTTTTTACAAATAAGTCAATAGAAATAGTTTAGTACTACTAACATAGTATTTATAGTGTTAATACAAAAAATGAAAGGTACTTATGGGTTATAATATAAATGCAGATTTTAAAAGGACAAAAATGGTTCTCAGGCAACACAAGATAGACTGGAAATACCGTTTTTAACATGCACACATCAGTGAGTGTAAACCCCCAGGGCAGCTTACGTAGCAATTCTAGTTTAAAGCATTTTTCAACTTCTTATTTTAACATGGCCTCCCAGAGTGGAGGAGACATGGCTGCTGCTTCTTACCTGCTGGCTAATTCTTGATCAGCAAGACCAAGAAATAAGAGATACATCAATGTAAGTTCATGAAACCATTTACAACAGTTTTTGTCTGTATTTTTATTTTGTTTCTGAGGCTCATTTGTGCCAGATGGGAAAAAAATCCTGAAGTCAGCTAAAGGCTATTTTTAACTTTTGTTTTTGTTGATGATATTCTGTGATCACAATGTTGCTGGTCTTTAGACTAAAAAGTATTATTTTCAACAATATGCAAATGTATAATGGCAAAACCACTGCCATACACATAATTTTAACTGTTTAAGCACGGGTTGTTAGCATTTTGTCACTGTGTATACTTAAGTAAAATCTACTGACTTAGAGCCACTCGTCCAGTATTCTGGGGAATGCAACAGAAAAATCCACAATCTTATCCCAAACTGTACAGAAAAAATGCATCAAATATGTCTTAAGCCATCATTTGAAGTCCACAAAAAATAGCGTAGAGAATGTAACAGTAATTTCATATTTACTACAGAAAATGGAAAAGCTGTGTGGTTTTAAGTGCTAGAAAACAAATTGAAGTCAGCTACACATAATCTATTTCCATTGCAGACAATGGAAAATATGCATGTGAATCTGAAGGCAGAATTTGGTCCTTAAAGCCTTGAAATAATGAGTGCTACTGTTCCAACATTTGACTTTGCAAGGTAATTGTCCTTCTCTAAGTATGGGGAAAACACTAACAAATTCAGTATTTCAATGAATGATTATAATTCTTGACCTTTAAAATGATGTACAGTACTTCTCAAGTAATTCAGCTTAGTTATGTTCCACTAAGATATCCTAGGGCTGTGATGAGGCTTTAGGCAAGTCCTCTGGGGTGATCTAATGCCCACTGAAGTCAATGAAAGAGTCAACTCAGCTGGCTTCCCATGGGTGTTGGATCAAACTGTTACTGAGGGGCTTTTTTGTCTTTTGTTTTGTTTTGTTGTTGTTGTTGTGTTTCTTTATGCTTGTTTGTCTTTATTCCTTCACATTCCTGCATATTCTTCATATTCTTTAACTCTGCCAACTGTGCAGTGACTTTACTCATCACTAATTCCAAAGAAAGGGTGAAACAAAGGTAGCAGACAGAAATAGAAATAACCTGCCTGGCACCATTTAAAACCCATTTTCTGTGGTGCTAGGATGACATGTTCCTGTGTGCGAGGGAGGTGGCGGAATGCCTGCATCTCACTTAGGCCTTATTGAAGGTCTGTTTTGGGGATGGGGTAGGTAGTAGATGTGCCACTGGAAGGTCCAAGAGCAGAGACTTCCACTATAATAAGCGTCTCTCCTCCCATGAAGCTTCCTGCAGGGGACACAGACTGGCTCTGATCTCTCTGTGCTCCGCACATAGCAAGGCTGCGACAAAGTCTGTGTGTCCTCTGTGCAGGCTGTCCCACGGTCTTGCATGCCATGTTGGTGTAGACACCACATTGGCAACCTCTGAGTTACTGGCTGCTGTCTCTCAGGGCTGTAGGGTAGATAGAGGATTGGGGGGCACAGGCGGTCATTCATACTGTGCTTTTGTGACTTGGTTTTGGGGCTTGAGCCCAAATCATGATGCTACTGAAGTGAGTGCAAGCTGTGCCCATGACTTGCAGTGCCATGGCAAATCTGACCTGTAGGTGAAGGAGAGGGAAGCACAAAAAGACTTGGGGTGCAGACAGTAAGACAGCCTCCTGATGAGGGCACCCATCTGATTGTTGTTAGTACAGCCTTGCCTTTTCACAGCAGCACTTTTAATGTGTTACAGCTAAAAATAGTTTTGGAAGGCTGGTGCTGCTCTCTGTGTGATGTCTTTGCTGTTTCCCACTGAGGACTCGCACAGCTGCTCTTAGTATGTGCTGGACTGCAGGAGGTCCCATGCTGAGGAGCTCCCTGGGTTGCCAGGTGAGAGCTCAACCATGGAACCAGCCTCTAGGAAAGTCTTTGCTCTCTGTTTCTCCCCCATTAGCACTCATCTCAGCACTTCCCCGTGGCAGCTACTGCAGGATCTGACCTGCTTCCCCACCTTGCCGTTCTTGTGCTGCAACAACACCAAGCTGGGTATCAGCTGGCCTTTGTGGGGCAGCAGCTCTCAACTTCCCACCTCTCCTCCCCTGCCCAATCGCCCCCCTTTCCTGGGAAGAGCTGCCCTGAGCTTGTAGGGGAAAGAAGTCACCCCACAGTGTGGCTGTCTTGTGTCTCTCCTCAAGCCCCACAAGGCAGGAAACCAGACTATATAACCAAATTGCTTCTCACACAATTATTGGGCTCAGAGCTTGGCAGTGGTTCACATCTTCTGCAGGTATCCTTAGGCATGTTACTTCAGAGTGGACTATTTTGTCTGGGCTATGTAGTGAGGTAATTCCACAATCATTCTTGTCTCCAGGGAGGCAGATCACTGGCTGCGGATGTGCTGTGCTGTAAGCAGGTCTCTGAAGTGCTGCTTCGCATCGCTGCTGCAATTCAGCCCCAACACAGACCTTGGTTCCATCAGCAGGAGCCAAAAATGCTCAGAGTAACCCAGAAGAAGAAAGATGGGCACTCGTGGGTTTTGAGCTGGGAGGTCATAAAAAGACTTTCCCGTGACTTCTTGACTCCACATACTGTGAGTTGTTGTTTACCACAGTATTAGGATGGTTTCTGCTAATGTCCAGCCCTAATGCGCTGGGTGAGGCGACGTCTCTGAAACCTTGGCTTAGCAGGGCACATCAGCAACTTTTGCTTGTCTGGTGGGGGATAAGCTGCGGAGTATGTGTACTTATTGTGATAGCCTCAATATTATAGGGGGGGGGTTTGTTCTGCTTTGCAACATCTCTAGTAACTCCAGCTTCCAGTTGGTGCTGATGGCAGATTGCCTGGCAAATTCTGATGGGGCAGCCCCAAATAGACTACTTGTTGAAGTAGTTAAACGCATAGGCCAGAATATGATACCCAAGTAGTATCATACTCCAAAAATAAATTTATTAGCTTTGAAGGGCATTTAGCGCAACATATTACCCAGTCTTCATTTGTGGACAGTTACAAGGAATTGAGTGACCACAGCTTAATGAATTACTATTTGTAGTAAGGTCCTGGGAGGGTTATTAACCCACTGGGAGGGAGAGTTCTGACTTAAACCACTCTCATGGTTTTGTCTCATGCTGGAGGGAGAGTAGATGTCCCAGTCACTGCAGCTCAGCTGACAGGTCACAACTCAGTTGCTTGTAATTGTCTCCCAGTTCTCCGACTGAGGGTGGCAAACTTCCTCCACCAGCAAGTTGCAAGCTTGCCATGATGGTGTGCAGCTTCCCTGGTGCTAAGACATGGTCCATGTGGCCAAGGGGCTGGTGCAGCCGACTCTTCCAAGCCTTCCTCTCTGCCTAAGCAAAGGATTGGGATCTCCTACCATTGCTTTTGACACCAATTACCTTTTAACATGAAATGGGAAGGGCAGCTTGCAGAACACCGCGCTGCTCCCATCCAGCACAGCTTGCAAGCTGGTGTCTGGGTGGGGTTGCTTACAATGAACACGCAGGAGGCTGGCTGTGCTCCTGACTACATTACACTCAAATGTAAAAGCTGAGCTTTTGCCCTACAGTACAGGCTATGATTTCTGTAAGATGGGGGTAGCTGGCTCCAAAATGGAGCTCACTTTTCTCCTTTCTTTTTCCCTTCCTTTTCTCCTGCCACGCACCTTTCTTTGATCTGGTGTTAGACCTCTTCAGTGAGTCATTTCAACTGACTTGCCCAGTGGAAAATGTAGCAGAAAAAGGGGGAAGTCAGATAATTTTCTGCCAGATTACTGAGTTGCATCTGCTCACAAATCGACGTGCAGAGCCGTGGGGGAGACCGAGGAGGGTGCTCCCCTGCCAGTATCACAGGGTCGTTAGCCTGGCTTAGCTACTGCAGCCTTGGAAACCCATCAAAAGGGTAATGCAGACTGAGCCCCTTCTGAATCATTTGCAGACATATTGGTTGCCTTCAGAACCATCTACCAGCTTTTGGGAGATTTGCTCAGTGCTACCAAGAGCAAAATCTGGTCTTGAACTTAAGACAGAGGCGGAGTGCCAAAGCACAGGCCTGCACACAGTGCGAAGGAGTCTGCACCAATGTTAGCGCAGGCTTTCCCACGTGGCCTTCTCACGACACCAAACCAAGAGTCAGACATGGGGATTATACATGGATGTCACTGGACCGATCTGGATGCAGCTGTGCACAATACGTGCACTCAGATCTGTTCATGTGATTGCACATTTACCTGGGCAGAGCTGTGGGCACTTGGACAGCTTAAGCTCTGTTTTATTAGTCACTCGTGCATGTATTTGTGATATTGTGGGTTTGCACAATGTACATGTATTCATGCAGGTAGTTGGAACTAAAGTCTTTGATATCTAGGTGTTGCAAACTGCCTGTTTAATTTTCAAATATGTATTTATGCAACAAAATGTATTTTTAAGCGCAGGAGAATGAAATACTGTTGTGAACTACATTGTAGACTAAATTACAAGGGACATCAAAAATGACAGCACATACCTTGTTCATTTGCAATAATTCTGTGATAGCAGCATCCAGGCTATTGACATATAGGACAATCTAACAATGGAAACTGTGTCCCCATTGCACATTCTCCTTCATGAAGAATATCAACGCTTTCGAGCTACTTTGTGGTTTTGTTTTTAGAAGCTGC